AGTTTGCACTAGTCAACAAAAGAAGCTTGAAAAATTAAAAGAAAAACTAGATAGCTCACAACAAGCTTATGCTACTTTGCTTGAACAATATGAAACTTTTGCCAATCTTAATATGGAGCTATCTACTAAAATTGAGCAACTTGAGACTAGTGCAAACACAAATAATTGCACAATCAATGATGAGCAACTTGTAAAGAAAAATGAAAAATTAAAGGAAAAGTTAGCTAGATCACAAGATGATTATAAAAGTTTGCTCGCTAAAATGGAAACCACGTGCAAACATTGTGATGAGCTAACTAATAAAGATGCTAATCTTGAAGCCATCAGTATAACCCCCACCGAGGCACCTAAAAAGAAAAGTTCAATTTTTAACATGCCTAAAAAGGATGCCTCTACTTATTGTAATGATTTATGTTTAGACTCACACTTGTGCAACCAAGTTTGTGTTAAGAAAGTTGTTGTAGAAACATGCACACAGAGGTCACAATGGAGAATGAGCAACTCAAGCAAGAAGTGGCTCGCCTCACCAAGGACTTGACTCAAGTGAAAGGCAAGACGGAGCAAGCCCAACTTCATCAAGATAACACCGTCAAGGGAGTGAAGAAGCTTGATGAAGGAAAAACCATGGTTTGCTATGTATGCCATAAGGAAGGCCACAAGTCCTATGAGTGCAAGGTGAAGAATGGGGGAGGAGAAAAGAAGAAAGAGAAAAACAAAAGGCAAACAAGCAAGCTCTCCAACACCTACATCAACAAGGTGCTTTGTGAAGTGGCAATATTTCAGCGTGATCGGACGCAGCGGCTGTGGACGACCGGACGCTCCAGCAGTGGCGTTCGATCGAGTCCAGAAAGGTTCCAGAGCGGTGCCAACACGACCGGACACGTCTGATCGATGATGACCGGACTCGGCCTAGAGTCCAATCAACGCACGCGCTCCAACGGTCGGGACGACCGGATGCGTCCGGTCAGGACGACAGCAGCGTTCGGTCAGTAGTAGAAAGCTGGGTTTCACCCCAATGGCTAATTTCTCTATGGGGCTTATAAATAGACCCCCTAACCGGCCATTTGGGAGGTGGAGAATTGAGAAAACATACTAAGGGTGTTGATACACCATTTTAGTGATCTCCATTTACATAGTGCTTAGTGATCCATTAGGTGACTAGCGTAGGTGCTTTGTGAAGTGCTTAGGTTGATTAGACCACCGCTTATGTGATTGCTCTAGGTTTAGGCCTAGTGTTTAGTGAGGTTTGCACACCTCTTATCACTCGGTGCTTGCGCGCACCATTGTTGTACATCGGAGGGGCTTGTAGTCTTGCGAGATCACACCAACCGCGTTTGTGGTGTGGCTGCCACTGTGTACCGGAGGGAACAAGGCCTACGCCAATTCGGCTAGAAGCTTGATAGTGAAGACGGCGGGGAGCATCCGGGAGAGGCTTGTCGAAAGGCATGTCGGAGACCCACTTGCGATTGGGGAAGGCCCGAGGCTATCCATGGAGTTACCCGACTGGGAGCTTGGACCCTTGCGAGGGGCTCCAACGAGGACTAGGGGGAAGCTTGCGCGCTTCTTGATATCTCGGTAAAAATATCGGAGTCATCGACAGGAGTTTGTATATCTCTACCTTACTCTTTAGCTTCCACATTTACATTGCAATCTTGGTGTGTGCCTTACTTTCCTAGCTTAGTGATAGGCTAGTTGATAGGTTTGGAACCTAGGTTGCATAACTCCTTTTGCGGTAGAGATAGCAACATACTAGCAAAATCGTAGTTGCACATCTAGATAGTTTATCTTTTGCATAGGTTTTGCTAAGGGTAGAAAAAGAGGCCATAGTTTAGAGTTAGAGTTTTAAGTTACCTAATTCACCCTCCTCTTAGGCGTCACGGTCCCTTTCACTTGGCACCCTAGCCAACACATGGGTGCCATCAATAGCACCAATGCAGTCCTAATTACAGCATGCATGAGTTTATATGTGACCATGCTACAAAACCCAACAAATAGTAGGAGACTACACAACATTACCTTAAGAAATGGGTACCACCTTTGGCTGCCAAGGATTTTGGGATGAGTCTCAGTGCTTGGAGGCCTAATCATCTCACCCCTGAGTTCACCCATAGCATAGAGCACCTGATGGAAATGTCTGCTAACAGTCTCTATGGACCTCCTAAAGCTCTGATGTACCACCCTAAACCTTTGATTATGTCCAACTACATGGAGGAACATGGACCCTTGTTCCTCCACAGATGAGTTTAAAGTATCCTGAAGCAGCCCTCTTTGCCTAAATAGTTTGCATAGTTGGTAAAAAGGAGCTCTAGTCATCCTAAGCATTGCCAGGCACTCTGAGTTAGTTGAGTTATATATAAGTTGCAGATTCCTTTATATGTGTTCATCTGCCTCTAGTCTAGGACCATACACTATTGGTTCCTCCTCAGAGCACTTCCTCTTAAGCCTAAATGACAGGTAACCTACCATCACAACAACAAGTGCAGCAACTTGAGAGGGCAAGTGGGATCTGCTAGCATCAGCATCCATCTACAATAAGTATTGAAACATTATGTTGCTAGGTTTGCAATGTTGGCCTCAAAAAGTGCTGCATGTTCAACATAACATAACAAGTGGACACATACCCACTATCCTTGGCTACATGTGTCACCACATGCCTCCAAAAGGATAGGAGCATACATCATTGACTCATATGTAAATCAAAAAGCACTAAAAACATCATAGAAAACATGCACCTCATCTAAGCTACAGTGGTAAATCGAAGCTCACACATTCAGTCAAAATCGAGCAACCAGAATCATCGGCAAGATGGTGCTACAACAACATGTATGAACAATGAACAGCAACGGTACACAATCTCAGCTAAGGTGCTACAGTACCCTAGCTCAGGAATTGACACAATAGAATCACAGATTTAGCACCACAAATCATGGATTGTGTACAAGCAGTCACAGATCCAGCCATTTTCATCATTTCGCCCCAACCGTTTGCCTCAAGGCAGCCCAAAATCCGACCAAACCGATAGCAAATTGAGCATCGAATCAAGCCCAGAGCGCAACACAAGGAGAAAGGCAGCGATTTCACCTTGCTTTGAGCGTCGAGAAGGGGATCTAAAGACGAGGGTACGAGGCGGGGAAGAAGAAGAGGAAAAGGCAACGACGAGCAGACGACAGCCAAGCATCGTCCACCAGACTCGCCTGCGACGTCTAGGGAAACAAACACGACCACCAACAGCAGGTCTTTGGGCAGCAGCGACCCGACGGCGAGGAAGAAGAAGAAGCCCTAGACTGCGTCACCACCGGCGAGTCGGACGAGGGAGAAGCACCGCACTCGAGAGCCAAAGCCGCTTACGACCTCGCCGCCACCACCGACCACCGAGAGCTCGAGACGAGGGAAATGGGGGAGTGGACTGAGAGCAAGTGAGGGAGAGCAAACCCTAGCAGCATAGCGGTGGTATAAGAAGGGTGACGAAAATTTCACTTGGCGCGTGAGCCCGCGGGAGGCAAAGGCCGTCAATGGAAATGGACCGCTGGAGCCAGCGGAGGGACCGCGCGCGGCCGAACCCGCGAGAAACAAAACCCTCATTTCCCGGGCTGTAGGCTCGCGGGTGATTTAAGCACCGCGCAGCCCAGGTCCCCAAGGCGTCCAGGGTAACAAACACGGCTGCCTCCAGCCCATGGGCATGTCCCAGGCCGCCGTCCAGGGAACAAACACGCCCCTACTCTACTCTACTCTACACCTAAAAAGCGACTGAGGGTTTTGTGCAACAACTTCGTGTGCGCGCACATTCGATCCGACATCCCTCCAAATACGGATAGGTATGGGTCAATCTCCAAAACAAATACGGATGCAGTCGATCATACCACCACTACCTCGATGCACCGCCCCTGCCCCTTCTACAGCCGAAGCGCCGCCGCACTAGGCCGCCGCCCGGCCTTCGTGACCAGGTCGCCGCCAGCCAGCACGGGTCGAGCCAGAACCAGCCGCAGGTGGAGCTTGGCCTCAGCGCCCAGTGGTGGAGCTTGGGCATACAATGAGGAGCCAATATTGATATGAAATGCAATGAGAAGGGGGGCATATTAGTATTTTATTATGACTTAAAGTGGTGAAATTAAGACTTTCATTATCTAAGTTCTCTAACTTAGGGGAGGGGGGGCATGGCCTACTATGGCCCTAACTAAGCTCCGCCACTGCCAACGCCCTCCCTCTACAGTCACCAGCAGACTGGCCGAAATTGAGCCATCCAGTGCCCATTCCCCTGCTCTGCGTTCGTAGGTTGGAGGAAAAAGAATTAGAAACTGGTTCCGGATACGAAATCCATGACTCGTAGCTACAATGGCAAACAGTACACACAGGGCTGCGGGTTAATTAGTATAGAGCCTAGGGTTCCCTTTGCAAAGTTTCTGTCCTTTATGGTTTAAACTTTTCTTTCTGCAGAAAAAATCGGCTGAACTTCTAAAATGCATAGAAAATCACCAAAAAAATTCACAAAATAGAAAATCAAGTTGTGTTGAACTCCTCTTGAGTAGTTCTATGCAGTAGATATATAATATGCCATTACCTTAGTTTAAAGTACCAGATAGCAGTCATCTTTGCTGTTACAAGAAAGCTTGGCAGCAGAGTATGTACAGTACAGTATAGGCCCATCAGATAATAGCCGAAGAAGAGAAAATGGTCTGTGTGGATGAGGGTGTTTCACTGGAAGGTTTCTTGATCTAGTTCAAATTCGAACTAGATACAAAACGTGCCAATGAAAGACCCCCAATCCAAACATGCACTAGTCGGCAATTGTATGTTAGTACTTCAATGCTTATATGCCAATCTTTCTTTTTTTTTTGGCCCCACTGAATACAAGCATGTTAGAAGGCAGCATGCTCATTCTGTCTGGATTATGGACCTTCACATTCTTTTCTTTTCGGGGGCATGAGGCTCAAATAAAAAGCTAAGGTCTACGGTATTCCACAGCACTTCGACCGAACATTCACAAAACAGCAAACTAGTCATCACTCATCAGCATGCCGATGATGATGCCTGCGACATCTTCTACGAGCTCGCGGCTCGCTTCGCTTCAGGACAGTGCCCATCTTTTCTGGGGGATTGTTGCCTTCCATGTTGCATCCGGGAGAACCGAGTATGCAAGCCAGCGAGTCCTCCATCAGATCTCCAAATGGTGTCTGAAGGCAACAAAAAAAGGTGTCATCTTGCAGCCGAACATTCTAAAGCCTAGATAGACAAACTGCACCTAGAAAATAAGTAGTCGCATTTCTGACAAACTGTAAACTTATCGGTAAACTAGTAACTCACAGTGTTCGCATTTGTCTCTCTTGAAATTGATCTAGCCTCATCATCAGAGTTGGTAGCTTCAGCTTCCTTCATTCTTTCTACAAAGGCGTTATCGATATACGAATGGCGTGGGTGCCACCTGAAAAGTGGTTGATCTTGATGCAGATCATCGAACAGATGCTCAGCAAAAAAGTGCCTTTTCACAACTTTGACCAGGAATGCATCATCACTATGCTTATTGAGTATTCTGTTAATAAAGCAAGGAAATAGCAAGCATGATGTTAATGAAACAAGTAGTTAGTTGGAACACCCAAGTCTCGGTGCCAAAGAAAAAGAATCGCTACTTAACAAACCACACATGTTAGCTAGCTCCATCTTCATCCGTCCTTCTTCCGTGTTTAAAAGCACTGCAGGGCAGTCATGCATGATTCCACGAGCCAATCCCTTCCCAGCGAAATAAGCGCAGCCTGATAAGTAGCTTCAATAAATTCACATTTTCAATGAAAAGGATGAAAAATGATTCTGCAGCAACATATCAACGTTGAAGGGTCGATGCATCCAATATTTTATGCCAAATGGTCCCATCTACTGCTGTCTTAACCTAACTAGCTATCTGTTTGCTTTCAACTACAGCATGGATCTATTATAACTTCATGAGCAAATGGTGGCAACATAAAAGGTACATGACTTTGGAGCATAAAAACTATCTTACAGAATGAATCAGTAACAAACATTTAATGTTAGTGTATTCTACATGCTACCTGTGTTTTCTATTTTAAGATGTACAAGTATTGAATGTTAATAAAAATTGTATTACATTCTAATAGCAGTATTGTTTGTGGCTAACTGTTCATCTGGGGCCTACCAGTGCAGTGTTAGTTAGATATTAGATATGTGAATAATCATAATCATTGTTAATTGGGTAGGTTTCATTGTAGGTATTTCCTAATCATGTTGACTCATCCTGCCATCAATACAAAAGAGCCACATTCACTATGAATGAGGAAGAAATTATTAATTTGTTTCTCATCTAAACATAGCTTGGCTATGCCTTTGCATGAAATTATTATACAGGTATCACTTATACAGGTATCACTACCAGGTCAAATATCCTAGAGATTTACCATAAGCTGCACAAAATCTTATGAATCGGGGATTAGGTGGAAGCCCAAGCAATTTGTTTCCTGCACACCAAAATTTTGTAAGCATGCATCTGGTACCAATAGCTATTGTCTGCAAGGCAAATTTAACAATGACAGTTTTGCGGTTTTCTTTATACCACACTTAATATAATCAACTGCAGTCAAAATCTGATGACTTGCTTTGTCCCTCTCCACCAATAAATGCATTGGCCATATAGAGACTTATTTTACTCGTTAAGAAAACAGTAATTATAATGTTCAAGCCCCACTACTAATATAACATTGCTACAACAAACTCTACAACCCAAGCAAGACTGCACTCAAGAGCAAATCACGGGAGGCACCAGCACTTCATGTGGCCCAAGGCTACACTCAAATGTGAGGGAGTTGTGCCTGCATACATGCATCATACCCACAGTATTTCCCCTAGTAATATTAACAGTATAGCCAAATTTGTTATAAACATAAACTATGCCAAAATGCTCCAAAAGTAACATATTCACCGTGGCTAGGAAAAGGATAGGGTAGGGACATACAAATATCCTTGAACAGTAATAACAATGGAAGAATGCAGGCGCAGGGTAAGCATATCAATATCCTTGAAAAGTAGGAGTAATAACAAAGGCAGAATATAACTTATTTGCCCTGACGTGCTCACTTGATAACAGCATAACAACAGCATCCATGGTGCAACATTTAGGGAAGGAGCTCTCAAAATACAGCCATAAGAATGGAATAATGTTGCTTGTCAGATGACACGCGGTTCTTTAGAGAGAGAGAGAGAGAGTCCTATTTACCAGCATTTGAACTTTAATATTCAATGGATTATCTAGAAACATTCTCCTCCCCAGTCCCCATCCTGGATGGTTTATGGCTATTGAATACTATTTTAAGTTCTAACCTTGATATACAAGGCTGCAACCATGCTCCTGGCATGTTTTCAACACAATTTGGTGCTCCCAAATTGTTGACACAATATTATCGCTTTCTCAGGAATGACATGTTTTAACTGAATGCTCCTTGTTTACCACGACTTGAAAATAGCACATCCCATATAATAATATTATCAATCGAGAGGTGAGCAACCTTTGTCGAACCCGAACCACCCCACGAAAGTGCCCAATCCTGAACCCACGACGAAGGAAAAAGTTGGAAGGAGTTTGCAAAACTCGAGCTTCTTCTCCTCCTCGGGGGTTAAACCGCCCTACACCATCACAAAAATTTAACTCAGCGACAAGATTCTATTGTTTTTTTTTAGGGGGGGGCAGGGTGGCGGGGGTGCTGTCGCAGAAGAGCCTACCTTTGTCCTCATGGCGCACTCCAGATCTTGGATCACCCCCTGCCTCATTAGTAGCAAAGAACCCCGTCAACCCCCAACCAAGGAAGTGAACAGGATTTGGGGAGAATTGTTCATGAAATGATTTTGGAATGGAAGAGGAAAAATTTTTTGGGAACTGCAGCCAAGAACGTTTCTGGGAGCGATCCGGCGAACCTTGGCAGGTGGGGGGCCGAAATAGTACCTCCGCAGCTGCGCCGCCAATCCCGCCATCTCTCCTCTCTCTCGCTACTCGTAGTCGTAGGGTTGATGGCTATTCCCAAACGCAGAGAGCGGCGAGGAAGACGAAGACGAAGGAGGAGCGTCCTGTGTTTGATTTGGGCCTTTCTTCCTCGGACTCTTTGATGGCATTGGGCTCAATTGCTTCCTGTTAATTGGATCAGAGCCGCTGCCTTGTTGGACCGCGAGAACGGGGCCTCCAGTTGGCCAGGACATGTGGATACCTTTATTAAGCAGTCCTTGTGAATAAAACTAAAAAATTTGGCACTGCAAGTTCTGGTGTCTAGCGACTGTGCTGTGACATCTCATGTAAGGATGAAAACGGATGGAAACGAACGGAAAATATCTTACCATTTTTGTTTTCATATTTTTTGACGGAAATGGGAGCAGGAGCCGGATAGCCGGGAGTGGAAACGGTAGCGGGATAAACGGTAATACAAAAACGGGTAAATACGATCGAAAATAGACGGAAACGGACGGTAAGCGGGAACTTACACCGGAATTACTTGCCACATGAACTCTCACACATATATTAAAGTTGATAAACAATTCCTTTGCAAAAGGAGTTAATAAATAAATAAGTTAAGACACCTTAGAAATCACGGACTAATATGCTCGTCAGCTTGCTTACCGTTCGTGCGTGTGCTGCTGATACTAGGCGCGTCAGCGCCTGTACTGCTACCTGTATGATGTACGCCTATACGGCAGTGGTGCATGCCACATGGGCCACGGCCACACACCAGCAATTAATACGTTTTTTTTTTTTGAAACACAATAACACAGCATGGAAAAGTTCGCACTAGCAGTAGCAGGCTTCCTAAGGGTGCAGGATACGGAAGTTAGATGAATATAGATGGGCCGAACCAGGCCTCATGTTTACCAAGCAGGCCACCAGGTTATCCCGGATAAGCTGTAAACGGGATGAAAACGGGATTATCCTGGTAAAAAACGGTATTCCGTAAATATGGACGGAAAAACCGTAATCCTGTTTTCAATCCCGGTCACGGTGCATCCCGTCCCGTTTCCATATTTTCCCGGAAAAACGAAAACGGTCAGGATAAAACGGTAAACAGTTACGGACGGAACGGGATCCATCCGTCCGTTTTCAACCTTAATCTTAGGGGTGTTCGGTTCTGCTGATTAAAGTTTAAAGTTTAGTCCCCGCTAGATGTTTGATATTAATTAGGAGTATTAAATTTAGACTAATTACAAAACTAATTACATAAATCAAGACTAATTCACGAAACGAATCTATTAAGCCTGATTAGTCCATGATTAATGAATGTGATGCTACTGTAAATATGTGTTAATCATGGATTAATTAGGCTTAATAAATTCGTCTCGCGATTTAGTCATGTTTTATGCAATTAGTGTTATAATTACCTCATGTTTAACCCTCCTAATTGACATACAAACATTCGATGTGACAGGACCGGATCCAAACACCCATGAAGTAATGAGAATCGCCATTCCAAAAAAAAAGTTTTTATAATCCTTCTATCTTTAAACTCCGTGGTATAACTTATAGTTACATTATACACCAAAAACTTCAGCTTCTAAAACCTGGTTGCATACAAATGCAAGAAAAAGAATACCTGTGCGTTTAACTGGGCAATTGAACCAATATCGTTCCTGAATTTATAGAAAAGAATGTTAATATTTATGATACTAAATTAATACCATTAGATATACCAAAACTGTTTTTTTCTTAATGTGCTCATTTGTAGTATTAAAAATATTTATAACTTTTTCTAAAAAAAGTTTGCCTCAGAGAACTCTAGGAATTGATTTATTCAGGTACGAAGGGTGCACTCCCAATATCCTTTCGAAAGTCCAATGACTATTGTGCATAACTAGGGTATCAGATTTGAACAGAATGTTTGTCAGCCTTTACTAGGGATGAGAGTTCCACTACTAGTTTTGAGTAATTTGTTCTAAAACTTGCTAAAATCAACTATAATTACATACTAATACTTAATTCATTGAGGTGGATAAATGAACTAAATCAGCATGCTATCGAAATTAACTTGCTAACTCAGACGATACTGTTGGGTATTACCTAATGCATCGATCTCTAGTCATCATGCTTATTTCCCTGGATCATGGCAAAACGCCAAAACAGTACATTGAGGGGAAATTGAGGTGGTAATCTAAACGAGAGCTTAAGTACAATATAGATATTAAAAATGACATGCTTCGGTGGTGTTTGGTTTGGAGCAACAGTACTCCTTCCACAAGACAAGGAACTATAGTACTCCTTCCGTCCTAAATTATAAGTCATTTAAACTTTCTTGAAGAGTCAAAAACATCTTAAGTTTAATCAAATTTATATAATGAAATAATAACATTTATGATATCAAATAAGTTTTATTAGATTCTTCATTAATTATATTTTCATAGTATACCTATTTGATATCATGAATCTTTATAATTCTCTCTATTATTTTAATTAAACTTAAAATATTTTGACTCTCTAAGAAAGTTAGAATAACTTATAATTTAAGATAGAATGAGTAGCTATGAAAAGGACAAAAACTCAGGCACGGCACAATATCATTTGGAAAATAAAAGACCCTCAGAAGAAAAATAAAAAAGACCAACGGGATCTGAACCTGCGACACACTGTTATACTACTTTATCATTTTGCGTCCTCTGCTACCTTGATCAACATTTAGTAATCACCTAAGAGTAGATGCAGCATACACTGTCCTGCATATCCAGAAGGGGAAAACATGAATTTCGCTGGAAAATAATGAACTCATAATACTGCATAACATCGAGCATATATATAAGCAGAAAATTGTAGTCGATGACATACTTATATATTTTGACGTGTAGGAACATTTTGAAGTGTAGTATATAGTACATACCAATTAGAGTTCGTCAGTTATCAAGCTTCAGGTATGCAAGCTTGGCAATGAGATCTATCAGCACAGAGGGACAGCTACTCCTCAGGTGGTTGAGGCCGCCGGCCACCATGACTTGTTGAAGATTAGGAGGGAAGTTCAGAAAATCCAAGCATGCATCCTTCAGTCCTCGGCAATGATGCTGCTTAGCTAGCTCAAGGATGCTCGCCACTCTGGTCGCGTTGATGTACCCACACAACTTGTCTTCACACATCAGCCTCAACCTCTGGAGATCATACCTATCTGCCGCCACAAGCAAGTGCTGCCACATCACTTCTACATCGTCCACGTCATCGTCATCCTCCTCCATGTCCTCCTCTTCGTTAATGTCTGGCATTGAGTCGCTGTAAATGAAAGTAAGCAATAGCTTAAACACTTTTGCTTCCATGTCATCTATGCGTATGACACCGGTGGTCGTGCCCTCCTTCATGGGACCAAAAAGCTCAGCCCTAAAGACTGCAGATCTGGCTGCAAGCACGCAGCGGTGTGCATGTAGCTTCTCTCCGCTGACCTCGAATACGACATCGGTGTCCCCACCAGACTGGAGGAAGTGAGTGAAATGCTGGTGCATATCAGATGCCGGCACAACGACGAATGCTGTGTTGACATCAATCCTAGCCTTCTTATTAGGTGACACAAGCTTGGCAATGAGCTCTTTGAGGACTAAAGGACAGGTGCTAGCTAGGTGGTCCAGGCCGCCAAAGCACCGCTCACAACATTTCAGCAAGTATTAGTGTAAGCTAAATTTTAGCATCAGCGAACAGGTGATTACCTCCTGCAGATTGGCATGAGTCCTGATAAGAAAGTCCAAGCAAGCATCCTTGAGCCCTCGGCCATGGTGCCGCTCAGCTAGCGCAAGAATCGTTGCTGCTGTAGTCGTGTTGATGTACGTACACAACTTCTGTTCGCAGATCAGCCTCAGCCTTAGGAGATCATACCTATCTGCCGCCACAAGCAAGTGCTGCCACATGACATCATTGTCTTCTTCAACTCCTGCACTGAGTCACTCTAAACGAACCCAAGGTGGAGCTTGAACACTCGTGCCTCCATGTCATCTATGCGTACGACACCTGCCGTCATGCGCTCATTCATGGAGCCAAGAAGCTGCCCCTTGAAGACCGTCGACCTGCAGGCGAGTATGCACCGGTGTGCAGCAAAGATCTCTCCGCTGATCTCGAAGCTCACATCGGACCCCTCTGTAGACGGAGGCCTCGTTTTTAGTTGCTCCGCTAAAGTTTACTTTCTATCCAGTCAAATATTTGATATATATAGACTAAAAAATAACTAGTTGTACAGTTTGCGACTAATTTGTGAGATAAATCTTTTAAGCCTAATTAGTCCATGATTGGATAATGTGGTGCTACAGTAACACATGTGATAATGACGAATTAATTAGGCTTAATAAATTAGGGCTTAAGCGTTTCTACCCTTATTTTTAAATAAAATGGTGATTTTACCCTCGTTTTTTTAATTTTATGATTTTACTTCTGCTTTTTCAAAACGAAGGGAGACTCTACCCCTAGTCTGTTAAGCCCCTATAACGATGTTAACTTTTGGACAAAAGTACAACTTTGTCCATGCGTTTTTACCCCTGTTTTATTATGCTATTTGTGTTTTTACCCTTGTTTTAATCAGCAAATTGACATTTTGTATACATATTTTTTAGAAAAATTCGACAGCATTTCTGCTGACAATCCATATAAACGGAATTTAATATCACACGACAAATTAATTTCACATATATTGCATTAACGGCAACAAACCAGATCCATATAACATGCCATCACAGTACCATATTAGATGCCAACATAGAGGTCCAAATAACATGTCAAACACCAACATAGAAGTTCAAATAATATGTGAAACACCAAATGACATGTAAAACAAAAGTAGGAACTAGTAGTGAGTTTCCTAGGCAACTAGCAGTGAGCTACATATCAAGCATTGAAACCCAACAAAGTAGCAAGCCTCCCAGAAGTTGCTCATGTCCCGCTTCTTCCTGTTCCTCTTCTTGAAGCACTTGCACTTTGTATGAAAAAGGAGCATAATTATGGTAGTAAAATTACTAAAATATGTAGTAAAGAGAAGCAGAGGTGCTATGTCTTACTTTGTCTCATTGTTGGACTCTCTTAACCCTCTTCTCCTCCCTCTTCCTCTTCCCCTTCCGCTTCCTGTACCACTTGCAGTTAACAAGAATAGAGTAAAAACAAGTTAATATAGGTGACAACGCTGAAATTTGCTAGAAAAATAGTAACAAACAACAGCCATGAATCACATACATTGTCTCATTGTTGCCCTCTGCTGAACCCCTTCCTCTTCCCCTTCCCCTTCCCCTTCCCCTTCCCGTTACAGTATCACTTGCACTAGCACTTGTACTTGCACTAAATGCTCGTTCGAAGAATTGTTAGTACAAGTAAATATGAATAATTGGGCTAAATAAATGAAATTGGACAGCAATGCAATTAGGAGCACACTAGCCCTCACAGTAGGGTGAAACCTTTTCTTTGTTGGAGAAAATTGCAGTGACCCCTTAAAATCATTTATCTGAGCATTGATACATACTAATCTGTCCTCTACATTGATTAGAAACCACTCTAACAAATTTTTATCAGATTTAATTTCCATAGAATCATTCTCCAAATCACGCCATAAGGTAATGTACTATTTAGAACTCCACAAGCAATGCTCAACAATGAAATCAACTAGCTGCAGCAACCCAAAGCTATTTGTGTCAACAACTTTGGTTGGCAAAGTTCTACCTTGCCACCATGTTTTTGGACCACTGTCTGGCAAGCTAAAAAATGAGTTGTCGGGGATCAATACTAGGGTACCTGAAGAGGAGGAGCTTGTCGCAGAACCGACCAATTTATAAGAGTACAAGTACAATGGCGTCCCGCAAGCGGTCGCACTGTCATACTTGAACCCATATAAACCCGTTAGTCCGTCGAGTACCACGACGGGTCTCGATAAACGATTTACAACAACCAAGATCGTACATGATTCAACATACATGCCACATATTACATAAAGTTCACAGATACATTTTCATCATCAGAGTATGAATAAAAGTTATTACAAACCGAGTTTGATAGATAAAAGTGGAAGCAAATTAAATTTAAAAGTAAAGTTTCCAACATAGTTTAGTACAGTGCCAAGATACGATCACGGTCCACAAAAGCATGTAGAAGGATTAATAAGAAGCCTGCCCAAGGCTTACTCCTCATCCACAGCGGGATAAAAGCAACTCTTGCAATAACCATGATACACAGTGCCATCTGCAACATGGGAAATAAAACCCTGAGTACGAGAAGGTACTCAGCTAGACTTACCCATCATAAATCAGAAATAAAAATGACCCCAAGAATTATGCAAGGCTGTATAAGTGGGGATAGCTTGACAACATTTGCATAAAAGCGATTAACTTAGCTATACAATTATGGTTCTAATATCAGGTTAATTATAACTATCCATCTCTAGATTAGCAACTATCCTGTGCCAAACATGTGGTATATCCATTTAAAAGCATACAATAGTAACCATAGCAGGTATTGCAATTCCATATTCACCCGAACCATCATGTTCCATAACACAATTACTACGATGTTGGGACTAGCCAAGTTTCTCACTATCCGGGAGAGACGGTGATTCGAATCGATTTCAACCAGCTGGGAATTTATTCCTAACACAAACCTAGGCATACCGCGCGAAGGCAGCCTTAGGTCACCTTTGGTACAACTTAGGTACACATTTCACGAGTCCGTACCGCGCCGCACAATCTGGGACACTAGATGCCAGGACGTTCAGGCCTAGCCTGCCCTTGGGCTCAGTCTGATCGCCCCCGCAAGGAGCACACAACAGAATGGGTCCTAGCCTGAGTTGAGCTACTCGGTTTCATGGTCGGAATGAGTTATCCGGCCAGCTAAGTGATAGGCATGCGTCCAATCTTATCAGAAGCCCCAACAACGGTACGGTCCTTAATCGACACAGACGGGGATAGATCCACACCCAAGACCTCCATGTCTTGTTGCTTCTCTATCGACATCCCGCCCGGTCTCCATTTACATTACCCATGGTTCTTTTCCACGATAGCAAATATAGCCAATCGTGCTCCGGTATCCACCTATATCTCGCAGGTGACAGGAAATCACCCGACTTCTACCGGTCTAAGCATGGCTAAGCATATATTCGATCCTGGACCTATAACGGTTAAAGGTGTAATAGCTGGACAAGGAATTTATATGCATCAAGTGGTTCCATTCAGCTCTTATAACCTAATGCATCAATCATAAGTACTTAAGTAATCATTTGTAAAATACTGGGAGACTTAGAATGCTCCAGGGCTTGCCTCGCAGAAAGGATGTAGGGCGGTGATCAGGACACTCCGGAAGCTCTTCAGAATTCTGCTCCTCGCCTTCGGGAGCTGCGACTTGAGGATTCTCCTGCTGGTCCCCTTCCTCTACTTCGTCGAATTCCAGCAATGTTATTTCTTCCTCCGATCCTAGATGCATGAATATGGCATAAGATATTGCGAATGCATATATGCGTACAAGTATAAAATGATGACACAGGATGAATGCATTCGTATAAGTAGTCTTAACAGCATGGTGTTAACAAATGCATCATATTTTACCGAGTAGGTGCATATCTCTTCTTGATTACTTAATCAAACACATTTACAATTCATCCACTACACACAAAACAGCAGCTGCTTGTTTTACTTATAACTGAAGTTCTACTTATCCAAATGTTGTGATATTAGACTTTCTGGAAATCTTATAAAATTGTCTACAACTCTTATTTAATCACCAAAAGCTAATTCACACTTTATCTTAACCAAAACAGACAATCAATCCAGCGATGTCCAGAAATCCCCGAGAACAAGCAAATTCGGAAAGGCTAACTTTAAACAGCTGTAACTCCTAAACCGTTTGACCTATGGTCCTAAAATTTTAACACAAGACATATGATGAAGTTATCTACAACTTTGTTATTAACTATTTTTACAGCAAACATCATTTTTATCATGCAACTTATCAAACTCCAGAATCTGTCCGGAAACTATTCTAATTCGCATTACAATGTAACAATACTTCTACTTCATGTAATCATTCATAGTTTGACAACACAAAGTTTACCACCAGTTTAAGCACACCAAATACCCTCAAGAAAATATAATGGTGAAGTCCAAACTATTTCTTTATATGCCTTTATTATTTTATTTAGATACATAGGTTAAATAATAAACATATAACAAATGTGCATCATAAATTCTCAAAAAATTATAGTGGCTTACTAGTGCTATCAATAGACCACTGTAAAAGTTTCATGCCATTTTACCAAGTAAAACATCCTATACAAAAATGACAAGGCAGCAAGGCTTGAAATAGCATAAATAGAAAACCCTATTGAAAAGTGTCAAGCAACAGATTTTATATTTTTCTTAGCATACATATGGTACTAGGATATCCTCCAACAAATTTCATGAATATTGGATTTATAAATAATTTATAAAAAATCATACAAGGATCTCCTAATTATAAAAGGAAAATCTATAACTACAAATTTATGCATGCACTGATCCTCAAATTTTTACCAGAGCTCATACATGTCAAGAATAGCTTACCACAAAAATTTCATAATTTTTGGAGCACAGAAACTCTAGATATAAAATAAACAAGTTTGCATGTATTCAAAAACACATTTCAAATCTCCATTTAAATCTTCCAAAATTTCTACTGTAAGTGTCAAGAATATATTTTTCCTAAATACTACACCTCCTATGGCACACTACCAAATTTATTTTTCCATTTTTGAAGCTACCAAATTGGAGATCTAAAAAATTACAAAACAATGCAAACTCTGGAATAAAATAAACTAGCTTTAAAATACAGAGTCACTGACCGGTGGGACCCGCTAACAGAGGACCCCACACGTCATTGAGACAAGAACAGAGTAGCTATGCTGCGCGAT